CTCTTTTCCTTTTTGAAACATTTTCACTCGAGAAGAAGAGAAGTAAAAATCTATTCTGGTTTTCCTGTCACGCGTATGCCGTTTATTTGGTTGTGTTTGATTTACGACACTGATCTCAGGGTTGTCTCTTTCTCTGGTTTCAAATTTAATGTGAAATGTCCGTAATCACAAGGAATATTGGAGATATTGGAAAATGATTAATGGCCTGAAATCAAAGACACTACTCCGGTCTCATAAAAAGACGCACAGTACATTTGTTGACTTTTCTTGCTTTGCTATTTCAGGGTTTAAATTGAACTCCAGGAAGGCAGAGAGATTGAATGGCTTTTTTTATAGACTCTGCAGCTGTCGCCATTGCGGTGACAATAACCTTTCAGTTGGTTTGTTTGATGAACTATCAGTGAGCTCTGGGCACATATGTGTTTTTCTCACCACTCATTTTCTGAAAACAACATCAGACATTTTGGGAAAAAAAGAAAATGGACAAAAACATTCCATATGACTTTAAAAATGGTGCGCATGATGGTTTTATTATGATATGACCTTTACTAATCAATGGTACAGCTATGTAGTTAATGAAGTGAGTGAAATGAAATGACCTTTATATGACTTTATGGGTGTTACTATATGTTTCATAGATATTTCCCTACAGAAGTTGTAATGTTTGCCCTGGAAATGTTTGGGGAAATAACTCGATCTCCACCACCAGTGAAAAAATGTAAACATACAGTTTGACATTTAGGGAAATAGACCTCTCTTATGTCTGCTAGCTACTTCCAGCAGTCAAATCAGCTTTGCTTAGCATAAAGACCGAGGGAAACAGCTACCGTGGTTTAGTTTTGTATTTACAGAAGGCTTACCGATATTAGAGTAGTGTTGAGCTTTTCATCTACTTCTCGTCAGGAAATGATTTAGCATAATTTATTCAAAGCTGTTCCTTTAATCACATAGGAAGGTTATACAGAGCATCTAATGCTAGCAGCTCTTAAAGGCCCCATCCACACTACTACATTTTTGTTTAAAAACGGAGTTTTAAAACGAATACGATCTCCGTCCACACCAGCCTTTTAGAGTTGATCTCCGTCTGTATTAGAATGACTGAAAACGCACAGCTAGTAGCCGTTCATGTACACTGGGCATGCGCATGCCAGTATAAACATGAAGCAGATGGTCTATTCCGTACTTAGAGAAGATTTGGCAAAAGAAGTAATGCAAACAAAGAATCAGACCAGATTTTTGTTTGCATGAATCAAAAACGAGCTGGGACTGTTATTGAATGTAACACGGGAGTTAAAAGGCTGTGGCAGTGGAAAAAAGTCTGGGAATTGTCGCAAAGCAAGTGTAGGCTGTAAGTGTTATTTGTACGGTCCAAAATATTTTCATAAAAACACCAAATCAAAATCTCTGTCAGTAGCATCGTGCCTCTACTTTCCATGACTTATGAGACCCCATCAGAGAGCCAAATGTGAGCATCTGCATCATCGTTTCTAAAGTCTCCCGTTTTTTGTCCGTCCCCACTAAAACGCTACTCAAAGTTTTAAAACAACAAACGGCGTCGGCAGCGTTTTCAAACTTCTCCGTTTTAGGTCTTCGTTTTCGCCGTTTTAGTCTGGACAGGAGGTGCAAACATAGCAAAAGGTTTTATAATGAAAACGCAGTAGTGTGGTTGGGGCCTCAGACTGAACATAGACACAAACAAATGCTGTGTGATGCTTCAGTTAGTACACAGTGTGTACACTATGTACTTATTTGCAAAGTACCGTGAATTTTGACATGGTAGTGATGTATCAAATCGAACAAAGCTGTTGACCGGAAATGCAGATCGCAACATTTGACCGCCTTTTCTTCTTCTTCTTCGGCAAATTGCAACCGGACAGAACATAACCACCAAATTAACACAATAAAGTTAAAACATACTTATGGCATATCCCCGATAACAGAAAAAATAAACCCACATAACTTAAATTTATATAGTTTATGCACTTTTGCACTCAAACTAGCAAGATTAAGTACACGGGACTACTAACTGCTAGCGTGGGCACAACAGTGCTTTAATTTAAATTATAAAATTAGCATGCTAACATGCTAACAGTGACAATGATGTTAAAGAGGTGTTCACCATCTTAGTGTAGCATTTTAGCATGATGACATTTCCTAATTAACGCTAAACACAAAGTAGAGCTGGGACTGATGGGAATGTTTTAGACTTTCAGGTAAAGTCTGTAGGATTCATCTTCCCGAGAACACGAATGTCATGAAAAATAGTTCTTGAGATATTTCAGTTTGGACCAAAGTAGTGCACTGGCCCAAAAACAGAGCTACATTACTAGTCATAGTGCCACATTATGGTACATTAACAGTATTAACCTAAATAAAGTCTACTGTGTGAATGCGTGGGTGAGTGTACCAGCTGTTATTTTGCTTCAGTAGTTGTCAGTGTAGAAGATGTTTACCGATCATAAATCTCCTGAAACCACAAAGACTCACCCCCACTACATCTACAGCCAACTCTCCTCTCCCTGAGTGTTCCCAGCAAAGCCGTGCACTAGGCCGGCCTAAAGTTGGATGGCTGAACTGCCCCTCTGGAGGACAATTTTTTTTTGTTGTTGTGGTTGCATAAATGTGAATCACCCATAAATTGCTAAAGACTAAATTAAAGCGCGATATCATCAAAGCTTTTATTACTTTTTGGACACAGATGGGCCCAGAGCCGTAATAAAAGTGATGCTCCATGCCCCTTGTTATGTGAGACTGTATCTTTTGTACTTTGTATTGTTGCCGTTGTGTGAGGGCTTTGGGTGAGTCTTTTGAAGTTGTGGAAATGATAAACGAATTGAGTAACCGAAGAGATGCACTATGAATAAAAATCTCCAGAACAATGCGCAGCTTGTCAAGTTTGCTTGATATAATGTTATCACATGAAACAATCTAAACACATAGTTGTCTAACCCACAGAGAGAAAGAGCTGAAGGAGGCACTGTTTGTATATTATTAATATTTTAATTATATAATGTTACTATATTCATTATAATATCTTATAATAGTAGACATAGCTCACCACTAGTATAATATTAATTTCAGTTACAGCAGTTTTATTTTTATGGGTGGTTGGTCGTTACTTGCACACTGTCCTCGTAAAACTTTTTTCCTGTTCCATAACAATGTTTCAGCGGCAAATGCGAGTGAAATACCCTCAACGAGTATGTTAGAGAGTTAAATGGGCAAGCCTGTAAGAGTGGGATGAAGAGAAAGAACTTTGTATATATGCAAATAAGGTTTCTTCATGACAAACGCTTTGTTAAAGTGCTGTAAAAATAAAATGAAAAGGTGTTTGATGTTTGAATATTGTGGTTTCCTCAAACGTTTGAATGCTTTCTTACAAAGCTACTGTAGTGTATAACATGTAATTAAAAAAGAGCCATTGTGCCAGTTGAAACAATCAAATAGATAAATGACTCAAACACACATCAAATTAGCTGCTTAAACTGCAAGAAACTTTATATCTGCAATAATGTTTTAACTTACACAGTGTGCAGAGTATTTATGTCATTAATCTGAATTCTTAAATTGTTTTGTGGTTAGTTAAATGACCAAGGAGCCCATTTATATCAGGTTCCCAGTTCATGCTAACCAGAGTGCTGCTGAGTTTACTATGAAATGTCAATTATCAGCGTGTGTGGGAACACACTCTGTTTAATTTGCCTGTCGTATCAATATAACCAAATATAGCTGCTGTGGTCAAATCAATCTACCAGCAAACATCCATCATCACCGGCTTTAATTGTTTCCTGTCTGACTCATCATCTCAAATCCACCTCTATCCCATCTGCTTTTCATTATTTTATCTGCATCCTTTAATCTGTCACTCATCCTCTGAGTGTTATCTTTGCCTGCTTCCTGTGTTTTTCATCGTAAACACGTTGATGGTCACCGGGAATCAGGTATTACAGTAATTACTGATTGCTTTGGCTTTGGCGTTTCAAAGTGCAAGGAAACAAACCGCTAAATGTGGTGTGCAGAGAGCTTACATACTCAGCCCACCACATATTACCACCAGTGCTAATTACAAAGAGTACACATTACTGAATCGGCGTGTGTGTTTGCAACATCAATACCATCATGAGGACTGTTGTAACATAATGGCTAATTACTTCACCATCACTGCCATACATCTGAAATATAAGGGAAATGGGGAATGCATGAGAAGAAATGAAAGAAGAAATTTAATTTCTTGCCTTCTGATTACTGTCAATATGTATTGAGGTCAGCTTGCTGTATTTTTTGGATGTTGAAACAAATGATTTAAATAAGATTTAGTGTCTTTGTGGTCCAGACAGCATACAAGCAGTGATGTACAGTTGCATCCTCCTTTTGTTTACAGCGTAAAGTCAGACTCTAGGTCATATTATCTATATTTACAATAAAACATCACATTCCATAAGTAAAATTAAAATCATTAAAATACACTTAAAATACTGAATTCTGTAAATTGCATGTTTTTTGCATGTGCAATGATTAAAATCCAGTGGTAAACATGAAATGTGGTGATGCTCTGCTAAACTTGCAGCATGATGTATTTAATAGAAATGTTTTCATTTTGTGTGCTGTGTTTAGAGAAAAATTCTGTTGAGCCAAATTATTTGCCAAATACTGAAACAGGCACTCGGAGCAACGACCCTGTAATTATAAATGAATACCCTGCTTATGAATATTTTATTAAACTGTTTTTGTCTTTTAGTTTGTGTGTGTGTTTTGGCAGATTTTATATAATTTACAAATCGACAATGTTGACGCTGATGGTTTTTAAAGTTGAAATGTGAAACATGCATTTTTTCCAATAAAGAGAGAAACTTGCTTTGGAGGTCAGCAGCATTGGAAGTGCACTTTTTCTCACGTCAAATATGTGTCTGTTTTTCATTTCAGTCTCTTCAAAGATGAAACAAATGTAGGAAATGTCAACGATTCTGTCACATAACGGATTGATTTGTTTCCTCCAACAGAACAGATGGGCGGGAGCTGAGACGGCAGAAGGACAAAGCGACATTAAGAGCACATCTATGGGTGTCGTCTCGCTTCCCGGGCTGGAGATGACGGATGAGATGGGGGAGAACGGCAGCTTTGCCAGCCCCTCGCCTGGACTCCCCCTGTTTCTGCTCATGTTCAACGGCAGCGATCTGAACGAGACGCTGTTGAACGAGACGCTGTTGAACTCAACCAACTCCACCAACCCAGATGTCTCCTCAGGCTCCGGCGCGGCAGGGGTCCTCATCTCACTCATATACATAATTGTCTGCATCATCGGCCTGGGTGGAAACACTTTAGTGATTCACATTGTGCTGCACTACTCGAAGACAGAGTCAGTGACCAACATCTACATCCTAAACTTAGCCATCGCCGATGAGCTGTTCATGCTCGGGTTGCCTTTCCTGGCGGTCCAGAACACCCTCCAGTCGTGGCCGTTTGGCCCCTTCATGTGCCGTCTGGTCATGACTGTCGACTCCATCAACCAGTTCACCAGCATCTTCTGCCTGACCGTGATGAGCATCGATCGCTACCTCGCTGTAGTTCACCCCATCCGGTCTTCAAAGTGGCGCCGCCCTCAGGTAGCCAAAATGGTGAATTGCACTGTCTGGGCTCTGTCGTTCCTTGTTGTTCTGCCTGTGGTCGTCTTTGCCAACCAGAAGGCACGAGGTACTTGTAACATTGCATGGCCACACCCGGCTAAGATCTGGCAGGCAGCTTTCATCATTTACACCTCCACAGTCGGATTCTTCTGCCCTCTTCTTATCATCTGCCTCTGCTACCTACTCATCGTCTTCAAGATCCGCAGCTCGGGTAAAAAAGTCCACGCCACCTCAACCAAGCGAAGGAAGTCAGAGAGAAAAGTGACACACATGGTTGTAATCATTGTTGCCGTGTTTGTCTTCTGCTGGCTGCCTTTCTACGCCCTCAACATCATCAACCTGCTGGTGTCCCTGCCCTCAGAGTACCAGGGTCTTTACTATTTTGTCGTAGTGCTCGGCTACGCCAACAGCTGCGCCAACCCCATCATCTACGGCTTCTTGTCAGACAACTTCAAGAGAGGTTTCCGGAAAGCCCTCTGCCGCTCCACGAGGAAGGTGGAGAACCACGAGCCCATGGAGCACCACAATCAGCAGGAGGAGGAGGGGAGGACGGCGCTCATGCCCAGGGAGAGCCTGAGACGGGCAATCAAGGACGAAGAGGACGATTACGAGGAAGACGTGACAGAAATGACTGAGATCTACAGAATCGCCCAAAATGGCAACAGCAGCTTCCAGCAGCAGAGCTCGGAGCCACTGTTCTCGGAGAAAGGAGTGACTCCGGGAGCAACGGAGCCGTCGTGCCCAGACAAGAGGGACAAAGCTGGGGACACGAAAGGGAAAGATCCAGTCAACGGGTCCACACTGACTGTACCGTTGCTTCTCAATGGAACCAAGAATGGGAGCATTAAAACTCTGCCAGAGGAAAACATGGAACAGAGCACCTCATTAGAGATAAGTTACTTATAGTGTAAAAGATGGACTGTATGTTACGTGAAGTGAACTCAGTATTACAACACAGGGCAGCCTGCCTCGAATCCACAACATTGAGCTGTTTGTAATGGAGCAAAAAATGCCCATTAACAAAATACATCATGAACACTTTAGAAAAACTCCTTAGATTTGCTATTTTTGATCAATGGACTCAAAGTTTCTTTAGCATTTGAAGGAGTTGCTAAAGTTTACCAACATAGAGAGTGTATATAATGTACATATGCATGACTGATTATACAAAGTTGTGCCTTTCCTGACTTTTATCACATGTATCTTGTTGATTGTTGTACTTGTAGCCTTTTTATTCCATGTGACAACCGTATTTAAGCTTCAGTCAACATTCACTGCAACCACCTACACGTTAGCTAAAATACTACATTAATGACATGTCTATTATTTTAATTTAAGTAGGAATCCCGTGTATGTAGCCCCATCTCATATTTCATTATGTTGTAATACGTCTTGCAGGTTACACTTTAAGGCAAATGTAAATGTTTGTTCTCATTCAGTATATCCAAATATTCTATGTGGATATTAGCTTTGATGCACGTGGCTTATATTCAGGCCCTGAAATTAATCTAAGCTATGTTGTAGCTGAAATTGTGACTGTGGTGAAGGATTTACTTTGTCTCTTACATAATAGTTGGAAAAATGCACTATTTCCTGAAAGCATAAAAGTTGTGTTTGATAACATTTCACGCTGGACGGAAGATCAGACCTCTCCCTCGATGAGGTTAGACAATAAAACAGCATGTGCTGGCTGCTGCTTGCAGATCAAGATGGATTGAAAAACACACTTTGAATGGAAACAATAATATTACTGTAATAATTTCTGTTGATTAGAAACAAAAAAACTAGGGCTGGGCAAGTTAACGCGTTATTGTTTTAAAAAAAATTGTTATTATTTTGAAAGTCCGTTGCTCACTGGCTCTGAATACACATGCACTCAAACCATGAGGTCACAGGAGGGGCGGGATGTTGATCAGTCTGCAAATCACCCACCCAGACAAGCAGCAGAGGGAGGCTTCGGCAGACTACGTAGGATGCAGCGTGTGGGAGAAGCAGACGGCGCTCCACAAGTAAACGGCAGGCGCTCTATGGATAGTAACCATGGCAACGGCTTCTGTGCACTACACAGCTGTAGCCTATTTAACTGGATGAAATTATACATACCTGTTCAGAAAATAAAAAGAAGAAAACAGATTTATATATGTTAACCTGTTGCTCAGAAGGTGCCTGTTATGATGTTATGATCGTGGCTCTGGACTCTGATGGTGATTTGTTTTTAACAAGCTAGATAAAAGGTGATGCCTGAGTGTCCAGGCAAATAGCTTTGGTTTAATATTGATTTGATTACATTAATGTTTAAGTTGAGATTTACAAGAAATATTTTATTGCTACTGTGTAAAGGGAATACTGCTGGTAAAAAGCACCTTATTTGTACCTTAAATTGTTTGCAAACCACATGTTGTTGCACTTTTGTGTAAATAGCAGTACATTTAAATTTAAAGTGCACAATACACTGCTTTAGAATTAATTATTCAATTTTATGCATAACTATGTGATTAATTGCAAGAAAATCATGTGATTAATCTCGATTAATCGTTGCCCAGCACTAAAAAAAAACTCATACTTTCCTGTGTAGTATTATAATTTTGTGTCAGTGTACTCTGTCCAGTACGTTATAGATTAAAACAGGTAATTCTTAAAGTCTTATGTTGAGTTCATTTTTACATCCTGTAAAGTTACGACACTGTCAAAAATTTAAAGTTAATAATTTGCCATTTTGTTATCTGGAAAGACTTTTTGGTGGTAAACGTAACATGTGTATTATGATAGGAATGGCAGTCATCATGTAAATACAAATATGACTTACACGTTTCAAATCACACAGGCTCTATAGGGTGGTGTGCAAATATAGTATGTGTGTGTTTATTGTTGTACAGACTGAAGCTGACACATAATACTGATGTTGTACCACATCCAGTAGATTCTTTATCAGACATACTGGATGACTCCACAAAAAACCTACAGATGAATCCTCTTCAGATCAGCCCATATGATCCGACATCTGATTGATGCAGAGTAATTATGCCGGTCTAGATCAAGCGAACGCCTGCATCGTATCCATCCCCAAACTCGGCTCGGTCTGGCGAGTGCACAGAGAAACACATTTATTAAACTAGTGCATTGATATTAAAAAACAAATACTTAAAGTGGAACTCCACTAGATCTGCAACAAACTGTCAATTAATTAATTAGTCAATTGAAAGAAAATTAATTGCCACCACTTTTGATAATGGATTAATCGTTTTTTTTTAACATTTTCTGGTTCCAGCCAAGAGATTTTGACTGTAGACTGTTTGTCGGACAAAAGAAGCACTTTGAAGACGTCACTTGGGGCTTTGCGAAGTTTTGATGTGCATTTTTCAAAAATGTTCCACATTTTATAGACTAATTGATTAATTGGCAGATTAATCAACAATGAAAATAAACATTAGTTTCAGTCCTAAACTCCATCAGTGTTACACATAATGTTGGGGAGTACTAATGTGTATGTAAACAAAGTCGTGTAAGTGGCTTTAGTGGCTCCAGAGGGAGCTGTGTGAAGTCTGATATGGTGTGTGGCGTTAAAAAGACACGATCTCACCAGACCTCTGTAGCAGCACTCCTCATGGGCTGCCACTAGCATAATGCTCCCTGTTTTCCAACTGAACTGTTGGTGGTGGAATTGCATTGTGGGTAATGCAGACAGCAGGTTTCGACAAAGAAGCAATGAAAATGTTCTGATGCAACGATTCATATTTTTTTGTTTGTTTAATGTCCATTGTGAGTCCGACAGTGGTACAGGAGTGTAATACTAATGGAGTACTCTTTTAAAGTTAATTAAGAGCACTGAGAAATAACACACTTTATAATTCTGTACAGCTGTGGTCCCCTTCATCAGAGGCCGTGGAGGGTAACAGAATAAGGAATATTTAACTCTGATCAACACTGTAAACTACTAACTTACACTCAGTTGCATGCTCTCAATCTTTCATAATCCATACTGTCCACTCTGCTGATGGTTGACTTACTGATATGTCGGGGGGTGAGTTTCCTGGGGTCCATCATAGATTTTTCTCTAGTTTGTGGAAATAAGATAAGATCAACTTTATTGTCCCAGAAGGGAAATTTGTCTTGGGCATCAGTGCCTTCATGAGGCTGCAGTGAGCAACAATAACACATGTGGACTTTCCACTGACATACATCATACAGTCCGCACCATACATTTACATTACATTGCTCAAGTATCAGAGACCTGAGTGATATAAACCAATGAATTATTATATTCAGTTGCACTTGAGCACATAAAGCAGAAAACAATATAACAACACTAAAAGTACATCCACCACAATTCTATGTAAAAAAAGAAAAACTCATATGAGACCTAGTTGATAAAAAACACTACTGCAAACAATCAAATCACTATTAAACTATACATAAAAATAAATTTAAAAAATAAATAAATAAATGACTTCTGTTGCAATAAACACTAGGTATAAAATGGGACCAGGATTAGGAGATGTAGACTAATAATAAGGTGACTGTTTATTTACTTTACTAAAGTTGATTTGATGTGAATTTACTCTTTCATATGAATACCACCCAACATCTGGCACGTTCTGCTATGTGTTAATAACTTCAGTACTCGAGTGGATACTTCCCACCCCCGATGTTTCTGCAGGTAAAAAAAATAAACTCATTCTAACTCTTTTGTCATTCATCAGAAACTCCCCGCCGTTCATTCATGAGCGCGAGCGCACCATATGTAGCTGGCTGTAAATACAGAGTACTTCTGCTCGGCGCTACTGTCGCTGCTCCTCTCGGCCGGTCTTCAGCCCACGCACACGCTTCTGCAAAGATCCTCTGAGGAGCATAAAACCATCATTAAAGGTGCATTAAAAAGGGATTTGCCTGGCTGATGCTTTATTTGCCAGGCCCCTGGGGGCTGCAGTTTGATGAGAGTGGAGATTTGTTGGGGGCGAGTAGAGTTGTGTGTGTTTGCTCTCCCTCTGTGAGTAAGCTGTTTACTAATGTTTGCCCATGTGTGTGTTCGGGCTATAAATACCCTCGGGTTCGGCCTCCTGCCTGTGTGCTCCCAGACTCCCTTCGGTGTTAACCCACCTGTGCTTACTGTACAAGGAGAGGTGATAGTCAGTTGATGGGGCTGCGGGTGGCCTCGCTATGACTCAGTGCGAGTCTCTGCCTACAGGCTCTCGCCCACGCGCAATACGGACAAGGCTCAAGTTAACTCTAATGGGCTATTATTCACTTTTTGGCAGGAGCAACTACCTGTGCAAACACTGTCATCAGCTGAAGAGGATGAACACAACAAGGTCCACACATGATCCTAATGAACATGAATGCTTCGGATTAAATATCTTGTGCTGCACAATTATCACATGCAGAATAACAGGAGTTGTAGGCTACAATTATCCTGCTGGTGAAGCTACCTGCGTGGGATTCTTTGTTACGATGTGGGTTTTTTTTTAAATCACTTAAGCTGAAGTGTTGGTTTTTATTTAAGTGCAGGAACTGTTTCCCAGTGGGAAATAAACCCTCATTTAAGTGTCTGCAGCAGATACTACAGTGTAAAACATGCTCTCTTCTGAGATAAATTAAGTGTGCAATATAATTCTTCTGGTTGCAGGTTATTGTACATTTTGTGTATTACATTGGCTGGACTGTTTTTTCTTGTTGTTTTGTTTTTGCTGCTGCATTTAAATATTTTGTGCCATAATGTCAAATCTGTCACTGAATAAATCATTTAGACTTAATGGATGAAAAAATAAAAGATGTGTGTTGAGTGAAGCTTATTTCCCAACATGTCTGATTATTTCTTTAATATGTATCAAGTACATAATTTAACATAAAACAATCTGGCCTTCATCACGTTAAAAAACTTTCACCATCATGGACAATAAAGCTACAGAAAACTGTACCAAGCCTCTCGAAGCATAAAGAACGTCTCCAGGTATTAACAGAGGTCTCTGATTAAACTCAGGTCCGGATCCTTATTTAACTCTCAGAAGAGACAGAAACCATGAGAAAGCCAGCCTGTCGATTATGCAGCAACTTACAACCCATATTGGCCTGTTTTGTGAGGCCGTGACCTCTAGAGGCAGAAGAAGTCAGGTGACGTAGTATAAAGAGCGACAAAGTCTGCGTTAGGAGGTGACGTCTTTTGTTTGACAACGTTTTGATGATTTAGGACAATTTGGACTTACGTAATCTACATATTTTCACCCTAGCGACGACTAAACCTAACCAAGTGGTTTTGTTAAAGGCCAATTCATACATGTGTTGAATCTACACCGTAGCCTCTGTGTAGCCACATAGCCACATACCCTACTCAGCACCCTAAACTGTAGACTGACATGTGCCCTCAGAGTGTAACCACACAATCAACCTATTTTGTTGTTTAGGTATGAGGACATGTTGCAGCAAACACATGCAACAAATGTATATTAAATGTATTTGAACATTTCTGCATAAACTGGCACACAGAAAGTTTGCAGCTCATTGGTGCCCAAGCCGGGGCTCAAGATCCCTACAAGAGGTCGCAGATGAGTTAAAGGATTAAAAGTAGAAAACTACATATTCTGCAACAGAAAATCATTTTTTTCAGTCGATCCTCCAACATTTCCATTCCTGTTTTTGGAAATGACTGGATAAATGTAACCTCTTAAATTCAAATACAAGGACGGAAAAAATGACTGAGAAAGAGAAACAAGCTTCAGAGCTGGAGGTGTTGACAAGATAAACGTAGTCAGGAAGAAGTGAGTTTAT